GAGTGGGGATTCTTTTAGGGATTCTGATCTAATATGTAAATATTAGAAAAGTTACAAATCACTATGTCACTATTCCTATAGCAGGCAACATCAATGTACTACTTTAATGAGCAATGGCCATTTAAAAAGTGCATTCTGTTGTCTTGAGGCATTTGTGTAACACTACCAGCGGACAACAAGCATCCCAATCTGTACCTTGTTTCCTTTTTTAAATGTTCACCTTCAGTTACAGGCAAAGGCAGGTTAAGTACGTATAACACAGTTTGTGGCACACGAGTGGCTTGGTCATGTTGTTCAGCTACCGGTGATTTTTATTTGTTAGCAGGCTTGCTTAGAACTGCAGAGCTGGAAGAGACCTTATGGATCATCAAGTCCAGCCCGCCAAGGAGGCACAAGTGGGGAATCAAACTCCCGACCTCTGGCTCTGCAGCCAAATACCACTGAGATGTCCAGCAGTTCATTTTTAACAATTCCTTTTTCATAACGAACCTTTGCATTGAGGTTCTCCAGCTGTGGAATTTCTTTCTGTCCCCCATCCTTGTAATATGACGGACATCAACATTAATGATGTTAATGTTTTGAGTGGGCAAATGTTGCTACCTGTTCAAAACTCACGTGGTTGATCAAGTATTTGCTATATTTTGAATCTATCTCATGGTTATTTTTGGGGTCCCCACTGCTGGATGTTTGCATTTGTTATTTTCATATCATTGTTGTTTGATTGGATTTTGTACACCAGTTGGAATTTGTCTAACCAATTTGTCTAAATTTATTTAGTTATTTAAAGACATTGTGAACAAAATCCCATGTCCTATCTGTATCAGGGATCTATCTGGTTCATCATTATGATAGTCTCTTCTGATTCTCTCCCCATCCCTGTTATTTAATGATTTCATGATTGTCTCCTATGTCTTGGTTGTTTCTATGATTACAACTTAATCGTCCCATGACTGCTTCTCTTCACTGGTGAGGAATAGATCCAAGCCTGTTTATTTTTCTGGGCTCCAAGAAGCACACGGGGAATCCCAAGGAAGCTACATGAGAAGACCGCATGACCGCAAGAAATCAGAGAGCTGAAGACATTGAAGTGAAAAACTGAAGGACAAAATCTGCCTGGATAATCCAGGTCACTGGTCCACAACCTTGGACCCAAGACATTCCTGGACTACAACTCCCAGGAATTCTGACCTGCATAGCTAGTGGTGAAGGCCTCTGGGAGTTTTAGTCCAAGAATATCTGGAAAGGAACAATTGATAGAGAATTTCTATAAGAGCAGCAAGGGAAAAAGCAAATGACATTGAAATTTGCCGGTGCAAGGACTCTTCTTCAATGCACAAAAACCACTGGTTGATAGTCTGGCAGGACCTATGACGCCGAGTCCAGGGTAATCGGGAAATATTTGATCTCTTCCGGCTAACATGAAGAAAATGTCTACTTTTAGCAGACTTCACCCTTCAAAGTGCTTTCATACCAATACAGAATGTTGATGGGGAGGCTCTTTAGCAGCGGAAACTACAACATACCCTGAGAACATTCATGTAATTTCAAGCCTCTTGCTGCAACCACTGTGGAATGCTAATTGAAATTGCAGTGTTTCTGTGCTGCTCGATATGAATATGAGGAAGCAAGGAACCGCCACCTACTAAGGCTGTGAACACGGATGGCAGTTTCCAATGGAAACAGTCCACATACTGTATATTGTGCGGTGAGGAAGAAAACAAAGAAAAAAGCAGGTGGTGATTAAGACAGAGAGAAATCCAACAAAACAGGAACTGTGCATACAATATGAGTAACCTCATATTGTATGCATAGCACCGTTTCAGAAAAATCCCATGCTTGTCACTTTCAACAGGATTTCCTTTTTGGGGCTGAGACTGGTGGGTTTCGGGCTCTAAGTGGAACAAAAAAAATGTTTGACTACACCTAGTTTATGACTTCCTAATTTTTTAATTAAGCATATGGGTAGGAGCCAGTCAAAGATGAGCTCTTTGTAAGTAGAGATGAAGAGACAGTTTGGTTTGCATTCGAATATGAATTGGCTTGATTCTCATACAGTGGCCAAAATCCTGTTGCTTAGTGTAGTCAGTCACCCTAGAACAGGCCCATTCAGTCAATAAAATTTATGGAGGAGTTGAGTCGCTAAATGCCAGTTGATACAATGGGTCTACTCTAGGGCTACTACTACATTCAGCCACAGGATTTTCACCAGTGAATGTGCAAACTGAAAAGTTTGCTCCTCCTTCTTCTCTTCACTTTTTAAATTTTGGATGAAGATCTATGATCAAATGTATACAAAAATTAAAGAACAGTGCATGCAAAAATGTGTGTATTACAGGAAATGTGTACCTGTTTGGAGAAAGAGAAACAAAAATGTAGAGATCAGAAAGGTGTACAGATTTTCATGTTGTTGTTTGGTTTTTACCTGGAAAATGTATAGTAACTGATGAAGAAATGAACCAGAGTGAACTTGTATCTCACAAAAGTTGCAGAAACTGAAATAGACCAATACATCAGTCCTTACTGTTAAATTCTATTGATTTCAGTGGTTGAGTTTAAGCTAGAGGAGCAAATACTATTGGCCTCATTTGCTCAAAATTATGTGTCTTAGAAATTGGCACTATTTTCATTGGAGCTGTTTTCTAGCCTGTCTCATTTGATATGTACCCAATATTTTACAGTACTTGTACATACTTGTATTTGTTTGAAGAGTGGGGGGAAATGAAAATATTACAAATAAAGTATTCTGATCTGGGATGATTGGATGAAACTGTTGTTGTTGTTTAGTTGTTAAGTCGTGGCTGACTCTTGGTGACCCCATGGACCAAAGCATGCCAGGCCCTCCTGTCTTCCACTGCCTCCCGGAGTTGGGTCAAGTTCATGTTGGTCGCTTCGGTGCCATTGTCCATCCATCTCGTCCTCTGTTGTCCCCTTCTCCTCTTGCCTTCACACTTTTTTAACATCAGGGGAGTCTACTCTTCCCTTCAGCTGGCCAAAGTATTGGAGCCTCAGCTTCAGGATCTGTCCTTCCAGTGAGCACTCAGGATTGATTTCCTTTAGAATGGATAGGTTTGTTCTCTTTGCAGTCCAGGGGACTCTCAAGAGTCTCCTCCAGCACCACAATTCAAAAGCATCAATTCTTCGGCGGTCAGCTTTCTTTATGGTCCAGTTCTCACTTCCATACATCACTACAGGGAAAATCATAGCTTTGACTATGTGGAGCTTTGTCGGCAAGGTTGAAACTAACTGCTATCAAATACTGCTCAATCTACACCAGTTTCCTTCCTTCATCATAAACCATGTAATTTACTCCTTGCCCAGGTCCTGCCCTTCCATGAATCCATCTGCCATTAGCTGGGCACTATTGCCTGGCTGTCAATCACCCCAGATCCTCAGAAATGAATGCTGCTACACTGGATCTTTAACTTCTCAAGCACTGAAGCAAGATCTGGTGTTTTGGGGAATCCTAATTCATTGGAAGACCACTTCGGCCTTCCTTGCTTCCCTTTGGATCTGTGTGGAAAATGGACAAATACCCCAACTTCATTTTGTTTTTCTTAATAAACTCTGAATCTGAAGAGCATCCTTGGTTTAAGCACCCATCTAACACTCCTGATGAATTAACTTTGTCTTGATCATGTCCATTGTTCTACCCTAAGAGGCAGGAGAAATTGGGAGGAAACAGCTACATGTTTGGTTGTTGTGCGTTTTTTGGGCTCTTTGGCTGTGTCCTGAAGGTTGTTCTT